AGACACCAACTCTTAAGAGCACTTAAAGAGTGAAAGGTGTAGATAAGTGACAATACGATAGGCCCTGGAATTAAGCATGGAATGATGCCAAATCAACCACATAACACAAGGATAGCATGCAAGAAAGCTCAAAGCTTGAAACTTAGCAAAGGAACTTAAACCATGGCCATGCAAAGCAAGCCCCAAAGGGTCAAGGGCACCCAAAACAGTCCCAAGACAGGTCAAGACAAGACCAAAAACAAGTTTGAACCTAGCCAACACAAGCTAGAACGAAAGACCAAAAGCATAAAGCATGCAAGGCTAACAAAGGGGTATTACACTACACCTATTACAACCAAACATGGCATGACTTAACCAATAAAAATTAGAGTTATGGCATGTCAAAATAAGCCCAAAAACCCACTTAGATGGCCTCCCAAAGGCCTAGGCATAGAGGCAAGCACGATGACCCACTCTTAAGGCATAAAACACCAACTCTCCTAGGCATGGAAAATGTGACAAATGTGAGTGCAAGACCACACTATATGGACTGAAATATCATTTCAAATGATGTCAAATCATGATAATAGTCTAAGCAATGCATGCTAGTGACTTGGACACTCAAAGCCAACAAGCTAGATTAAACCATAGCTATACAAAACAATGCATATATGATCAAGACAACACAAATCAGAGCTTAAGTATGGTAAAACAAGGCTAAAAGCTTCTTTGGGTTGAGCCAAAACATGCAAAAATGATGGTCCAAACACATGATGCATGTCATGCTAACATGCAAGATTGCTCTACAAGTATGTGAAGCATGCAAGATGTTATCAAACCAACTTAAAACAGAGGTATATTATGGAAAACTAACACCAAATACTTGCTGAAATGGAGCCAAAACAAGCTAAGCAAACATGCTACTATTATGAGCCATTTATACTAGCATACAAGACATAAGGAGAGAGGGGTGTCCCTCTCCTATTCAAGACTCTAAAACCACCTTTCCACCACTGAAAATCCTTTGGATTTCAGTGGTAGAGAGGTCATGCAAAGGCTAGAACAAGGGCCAAAAGGGATGGCTCAAAACAAGGCCTAAGAGGGAGTAGACCACCCCTAACCAAAAAGTGACCTTAAACAAACATCACAAGCATGAAAAATCAGAACTTTTTGTAGTTTACAGTTAAGCTTAAAACAATATGCAAATAGGTCGAAAAGCTTAAGCCAAAATAAGGGATCAAAAGGTAGTTGACTCACCCTTGAAGAACACCTTCAAGAACACAACTGCAGCAGCTTTTCTGTGTTCGAACCAACCCAAAAACACTAAAATCAACTCCTCAGCACCTCAGCAACAAAAGGATGGTGTTCTAGTAGGTGTTTGTGTGCAATAGTGTGAAGGATTTACACTTTTGAGCACAAACAAGAGCAAATCAAGAGAGAGAGGTAAAATATATAACCCTTGAAGAACACCTTCAAGAACACAACTGCAACAGCTTTTCTGAGTTCAAACCAACCCAAAAACACTAAAATCAACTCCTCAGCACCTCAGCAACAAAAGGATGGTGTTCTAGTAGGTGTTTGTGTGCAATAGTGTGAAGGATTTACACTTTTGAACACAAACAAGAACAAATCAAGAGAGAGAGGTAAAATATATATATAGAGAGAGATATAGAACTTGTATATCAAATTCTCAGAACCTCTGGAAAGGGAGGGGAGGCTCCCTTCTTATAGAATTTCAATTCTCAAGCTTGTTGAACAAGCTTGAGTCTTGAATGCAATCCCTCCATACACGTGTATGGAGGGTGAGGATTGTGCTCACCAGCTGTCACAGCTAGCACAAAATATCTGCAAAAAGCAGATGAAAAGGTCTCGGCTCAAAAATATGGCCGATTGACCAAAAAGAGTGCCGATCGACCAAAAAGAGTGCCAATCGGCCAACACTTATGGCCGATGGCAAGAAAACATGGCCGATGGCACAATGCCTTAGCCGATGGGTTGTAGGGATGACCAACAAGCCACCCTCTCCCCTCAGAAGCAAAACCACAAGTCCTTGGTCCACAACCAAGCACAAAACAAACAAGTTGAGAGATCCTAAGGCAAGGCGCGCAGCCGAGACCTTCGGGAACTCAAAACAAACACGAGCATGGGTGATCATCGAGTGTTCAAACGATAACGTCCAAGTCTTGAGGACGGTCAAAAATGAGGTGTCTACAAAGCCGTGGAGGAAGTAATGGGTGAAAGAATAGAAAGGGAAAAGAGAAAAAGAAGAGCGAGAGTGCGTGGGGAGATGGCAAAAAAGCCAATAGACGAAAAGGGTTCTTCATACTTGAATGTGAGATTGTTGATTCAAGATGTCATCAAACAAGTTAACCACAAGGAATCAATTGAAGAAATCACATGTTAGTTTTGAAAACATTGTCTTTGATCTCAGTTAAACAAAGTCATATTGGGTGTATATATTAACACCGTCCATACTCCGTTTCTCACTTTCTTAGTGTCTCTTCCACAGCTCACTCACTCTCTCTCTCTCTCTCTCTCTCTCTCTCTCTCTCTTTCAAAGCCCTCGATTTGAAGCTTTAGCTCTAGCTCTCTCCTTTAATTTCAAACACACACACACCCTCTCTCGCTCGCTCAATTACAGATTTTGCATTGTATATTTATCGATCTATTGCTCGAGGGCTTTGCTCTAACTGTTCTTCATCAAACTCAAACTCGATCTGTTCTTCATCAAATCGCAGATCCAAAATTGATATCATTCTTGAACCAGATTGATCTATGTTGCTCTTATCTCAGCTACATTTTTCATTCTCTTAATCAGTGTTCGAGTTTGAACTAGATCGATCTCTGTTGCTTTACTTTCTCATTGTCAAATCTGCTGATTAACTCTCTAATTTTTTTCATCCTCAAATTAGATCAGAAGCTTTAGCTCTAGCTCTCTCCTTTAATTTCAAACACACACACACTCTCTCTCGCTCGCTCAATTACAGATTTTGCATTGTATATTTATCGATCTATTGCTCGAGGGCTTTGCTCTAGCTGTTCTTCATCAAACTCAAACTCAAACTCAAACTCGATCTGTTCTTCATCAAATCGCAGATCCAAAATTGATATCATTCTTGAACCAGATTAATCTATGTTGCTCTTATCTCAGCTACATTTTTCATTCTCTTAATCAGTGTTCGAGTTTGAACTAGATCGATCTCTGTTGCTTTACTTTCTCATTGTCAAATCTGCTGATTAACTCTCTAATTTTTTTCATCCTCAAATTAGATCAGATCATATCATTGAACCAGATCGATCTCTCTTACTCTTCATCTCAGGTCGTTTTTCAAATCAATTAATTCTTTGGTAGTTTTGTTTGTTTTTCATTACTTTGTTTGTTTTTCAAATCAATTAACTCTCTAATTTAAGATTTTGTAGATTTGTTTGTTTTTCATTACTTTTGAGAGGGGGTGGTAATTGATTTGCAAGACACTTTGGGATTAGATAGCTTATACTATAGATGATCTCATGATCTCAGAGTGACAATGTATGGGAGTATTTGGATGTTTACAATTAATTATATGTTTGGCAAGTGTGCTTGGTCTATATTTTTTGTGCTTATAATTTTCATTAGAATCTTTATTAGAGAATCTTCATCTTTGATGGATTAGCATGAAACATTGTTCATTATGGAATATTTAAGAGCAGATTTGGGCATCCCCATTTCATCATTCTGATTGAGAAACAACAGAAATGGTAGTGAATCCATTTTATCTTATTTCCGCTGTTGTATACCTGTCTGTAACTAATCATACCCAAAACTTAAAACAAATTATTATATAAATGTAATTCAACAGTGGGATACTTATTATCTAAATTATTATGCGTAATCGAAGTCATCCAGAAGGTCCAATTGCAGAGAGATACTTAGTTAAAGAGTGTATGACCTTTTGCTCAAGGTATTTGGATGATGTCGAGTCAAAATTGAATCGACCAATAAGGAATTATGATGTTAGTGACAATCCTGGGATATTACTAGGTCTAATACCAGGGAGCCTAAAAAAAATCCCCTATAAATTACACATATGTCCACCATTAGTTTATTACAAAAATAAAAAAAGGAAAATTAAATAAAATTTAAATAATTCATTCCTATTCCGTTTTACTTCAAACACTGCAAGAAATTTCACTTTTGGCGACTAAAATTTTAGTCGCCAATCACTTTTGCCGACTAATATATTTGGTCGCCTATAGTTTGTCAGGGAAACAATCGGCGACTAAAATTTTTTTGGTAGCCAAAAGTGGCCTTTTGGCGACTAAAACCTTAGTCGCCATATGTTTTTTAAAAAAAATTAAATATATAAATATATTTAATTTTAGCAACTAAATTATTTAGTAGCCAATTGAGCATGTATGTTTGGCGACTAATTATTTGGTAGCCAAAAATTTTACTTTTTGAGAATTGGCGACTAAAATTTTAGTAGCCAAAAGTTTCTTTTTTACAATTGGCGACTAACAGTTTAGCAGCCAAAAGTTTCACTTTTTTACAATTGGCGACTAAAGTTTTAGTAGCCAAAAGCCAACCCGTGACATTTGTTTAGTCACCAAAACGTCTCATTTAGTTTTTATAATTTATTCTGTAATTTTTTTGGCGCCATCTATAACCTATGCATATACAAAAATTTTCATTTATTCATTCGATTCTTAACCATTCAATAAAAATATTTCTCCACAACTTGTACCATTCAATTTTCAATCACATACAAAACTTAACTATTTACCGTACATATCAAACAAAATAAAAATCCATAAATATAGTATAATCCAACAAATACATATACTATCCAAACCAACAAACTCGTGATCGTAACTTGTATTCCCAGCATAAATCTCTCTTTTACTTTGGACAGTTGTGAATTCACAACATAAATTGGCTTTTCAAGTTACTAGAATTAAACACAGGCAAATTTCATTTTTATCTATCAAGGAATCTTTTCTCCAGAACGGTTCCATCTCAGGGCAAAAATTTCCTGCAACAACAATACTCAACAATGTTATGCTTTGTTTGATAGGAGGGAAACGAAAAGAGAAAAAAATAATTGAGAAAGTTATTAAATATTATTCCCACGTGTCATTGAACACAAATTTGGAGGGAATTCAATTCAATTTAGGTACAAACAATACTCAAGGAACAACAAAATAAATATATTTTCCCCTCAACTCTTATCTACTTTGTTCTCAACTAAAACAAGGAAAAATTTACTAATTCATTTTCTCCCATCTCTCTTTTCTTAATCTCTTCTCTTCCCTAATCACTCTCTCCAAATGAACACAACTTCACCAAACTAGGGAAAATCAAATTAGAATATCTTATGCAAAGAAGATTGAAAAAACACAAACAAATGGACAACGTTTCAAATATTATTGCATCAAAAATCTAAAAATACAAAGCTGATCTATACCATCGTTGTCTGTCTCATTATGGGCTTAAGGTGATATGCATCAATAAAAAGTGTCATTCCTATGCATCAATTAGCAAGTGTAAACAATTGGAGCTAATTAAAAAGTGTGCTAATTAGCTCCCTTCATTGGCATAGTCTCCACACTGACTGGAAAGGTTGGCATCATTTCTAGAACACAAGGAGGTTAACATAACTAGATCAAAAATAGTGATGACCATAATGGCTAATGAACAACATAGGACAACATCCAATAAACAAAATCATGAATCTCACATTCCCAATACAAATATGATGAGAAGCACTTCAAAGATAGTACCTCTGGATGCCACTGGAAGGCAGTAATAGGATAATTGTGTGCATGGACTGTGGAGACATAGACCTGATACAAATAAATGTTCTAAATTTAGAATGTTCAAATATATAGGGAGAAAAAAAAATTGGAGAGTAAAACTTATTTATTGATAAAAATAAATAATCAATTGATAATTCATATAGAGAAAATTTTAGCTGGAATATCATATAGATTTATAATTGATAAAATATAACAAATTGCCCGTAGTCAATACCTTATTATCTGAATCTGCACTAGTTGTTAAGACCTTGAAGAAACTACATAGTTCTTTGTACTCTCCAAACCTTTCTAGTGATACACCATACTGTTGCATAAAGGAATTCAACTCACTAAGGTCAACTACTATGTACTTTGCAAATCTAAGTACGCCTGCTAAGATTAAGCAGGCATATATGGGTCTAAAAAAATAGAACAGAAACAATACGAAGAACTAGTTGTGTCTCTATTGTATCTACATAACTCAAAATCTATATGAAAACTTCCAAGTATAGACCATTATGGATTCTTGATAAGTCAACATCCACTAAGGTACATAATAGTGACTAGTGCCCAATTTTTTATTCATAAACTGACCAAAGTTGAATTATTTTTTGCATTGTTATATGAACTTCTATATACAGATGTAAAGCAACACGAGAATGAAGTGAATTTCCAATATCAGTACCTTTTGGAATGAGCCATGGGTTTGGAGCCCAATATGTGAACATAGAGCCCTTTCAGAACTCTTAACACAAAGGAGCCACAAACCCAAGAATTGATTTTTAAGAAACGCCTAAACCAAAAAACTTCATCCATACTAGTCCATTTTTTAACTAATACCTTTGTCAGTCTATTAAATTGCAGAACAACAATTCTGATATGTTTTAATCAATACCACCATAGTTTGAGGCATTTTGTCAAATACCCGGTAGGCATGAATATAAGATATGCTTTATTCCTTCTTTTCTATACATAGATAGGGATAAACACCAAAGGAAAAAACAACAAAACATAATTACATACCAAACTGATGAGAATAAAAACACATATAAGGATCTAGCACCACTTTTTGAAGAATTGAACTAAACCTGAACAAGTAGTTGTGGCACTCCACAGAGAACAACGTGTGGATTCTCCATGGAGCTTCTTGGTCCGTTTCTTGGCAATACCCACCATTGATCAGACCCAAAATCACCACCACCAGGACCACGAGATTCGCCATTGAAGTTCAGTTCAATGGAAGATTTGAAATGGGTAGTGTTGTGTAGATCTGAATTTCATGATTGGCTATGGAGTTTAGAGAGAGAAAATATGACAAATCTAGGTGAATCGGTGCTCCGGTTGCCCACGACGACGACGAGGAGCGGCTGGTGGAGCGGTGGTGAGAGAGGGGAAACTAATTTGAAATAAATCCCTCCAAATATTTTAGTTTTTGGTGACTAAACTAATTTTTTGTCGCTGAAAATATGTTTTTGGCGACCAAACTTTTAGTCGCCAAAGATAAAAAATAATTTTTTAATTTTACATTCGATGACTAAATGATTTTAGTAGCCAAAACGCAACATACGATGACTAAACTAATTTTTTGTCACTGAAAATATGTTTTTGGCGACCAAATTTTTAGTCGCCAAAGATAAAAAATAATTTTTTAATTTTACATTCGGCGACTAAATGATTTTAGTAGCCAAAACGCAACATACGGCGACTAAACTAATTTTTTGTCACTGAAAATATGTTTTCGGCGACCAAACATTTGGTCGCCAAAGATAAAAAATAATTTTTTATTTTACATTCGGCAACTAAATGATTTTGGTAGTCAAAACTCAATATACGGCAGCTAAATTTTTTTTTTTTTGTCGCCAATTCTGGTATTTTTAGTGACTAAATTTTTTTTTAGTCGCCAATAATCAATATATCCCGACTAAAAAAAATTAGTAACTAAATATTGTACTTTTGGCGACTAAAAAAATTTTAGTTGCCAATTTTGATCGCAAAAGGTGCATTTTGTAGTGAAAATTTCCACCCAAATTGTTAATTCAAATACAACCTTAATCAAAAAAAAAAATTGACATAGGCAAATATCAAAACATAATTAAATAAATAAATGTCTAAAAATTATAAGACTATTTAGTACAGTTTACGGGGTTACTTATCATTTTTATGTTTATTTTAATTTGTGTCAAAGTTTTTTTTTGTGTCTAAAGCTTATATGGAAATAGCTCAAATAAAAATAAATAAATAAAATTCTCATGTTAGGATCTCAACATGAGAATATTTGAGGGGTTTGTAGGGTTCACCACGAGTCTCTTTTAATGATCTGAACCACTCATTTTGTATGGTCCTTAATGTCTATTATTCATGAAAAAATTTAGGACGATCCAATAATCATAATAATTTCATTTGGTTGCATTTGTCTCTAAAAAATAGATGATCAATTACAAAAATATATTTATCGGCTATATTTTTTGAGACAAATGCGATAAAATAAAAAGGTTATAGTTATTAAATCGAACTAATTTTTTTTGTGGATAATATATACTAATGACTCTAAAAAATAAACGGTTTCAAATTGAAAAATCTCAAATTTCCCAAGAGATTGATTTGTAATTATGTGTCAATTTTAAACAATAAATAACAATTCCAATCAAACAATCAAAGACAAATCAACACAACGTTTTAACGTGGAAAAATCACAATTTGAGCGCTTCTAATTGTGATAAAAAATCACGGACCAAAGCCACAGAACAATCCACTTAGAAAACTAAAAGGAATTACATAAGTGTAGTCTCAATTACCTAACAAATCCACTCTCAAATTGAACCGACCCCAATATGCCTCTTCCATCACCGTTTTCACCGCGGAATTGTCTTGTCCAACGTTGAATTCACAATGCCGATGTCAAATCATGACAATAAGCTACTCCAAAATCCACCAAAGCTTCAGGCCCAAATTCTCCGGAATCCACCGAAAAACAACTCTCTCTTTTGTGAATAAAAGAAAACAAACAAATCTTTTGATATAATCCACTTAATTCATGATATAAACTCTCACATATATCAAAAGAAACAAGCAAAGAAGCTCCCGATGAAAACCTTAATACCTAAAAAGATTATTTGGAAGTCGTGCCCTAAAATCAGACTAAAACGTAGCTTTATAGAGACCAGGGCCACAATGCTTGCTCGAGCGAGGAGACTAAAATGCGTGTTTTTCTAAGTATCTTCGCTCAAGCCACCAAAGTGTCGCTCGAGCAAGAAATGCATCTTCTCAGTATTTTTACAGTCAGTGAAAACTTCTGGGACCAAGATTCTTCGCTCGAGCGCATATTCCTGCGCTCAAGCAAACAAACAACTTCAACTGCATTTTTACTTTCAGCTAGATCCTCGACATAGTTAGTGAAGTGGCAAACATGATAGCTTTAAGATCACAAACTTCTCTGCATAGACACAATTCGAGTTGGATTCGCATTTAAATACTCATAGCCTCAAATAAAAGATCAAATAAAATTACAACTAAAAGAAATTTTATCAAATAGGATTACCAATTACAAAAACTTAACACAAATTATTAAAATGAGACTTGTGATGGGCCTTATAGGACACTTAAGCTTTCCCATATTAAGAGAAGTTTAATGTTTTTTTATTTAAATATTAATTTCTTAGGTTTTTACCATGAGAATATGATTTTTTTTTTTTTCTTGAAAGCATTTAGATAATGATTTTTTTTAAGAATCTTTGGAAAAGAAAAGTTGTATTCACCTTTTGATGCCTATGAATAATAAAGGTTTTTATTTGGGGCCGGTTATTAGGGGCGGGCCTCGTGTCGTGTTGTATTGGATTCATGTCAAAATTATTTTAACATTAATTTGATCCGTTTATTATTTCGTATTATTGTGTTCTGTCATTTTCGATCGGTATCTAATTCGTGTCGTGTTAACGTGTCATGTTAAGAAGTGGCAAACATGATAGCTTTAAGATCACAAACTTCTCTGCATAGACACAATTCGAGTTGGATTCGCATTTAAATACTCATAGCCTCACTTAAATAAAAGATCAAATAAAATTACAACTAAAAGAAATTTTATCAAATAGGATTACCAATTACAAAAACTTAACACAAATCATTAAAATGAGACTTGTGATAGGCCTTATAGGACACTTAAGTTTTCCCATATTAAGAGAAGTCCAATGTTTTTTTATTTAAATATTAATTTCTTAGGTTTTTACCATTAGAATATGATTTTTTTTTTTTTTCTTGAAAGCATTTAGATAATGATTTTTTTTAAGAATCTTTGGAAAAGAAAAGTTGTATTCACCTTTTGATGCCTATGAATAATAAAGGTTTTTATTTGGGGCCGGTTATTAGGGGCGGGCCTCGTGTCGTGTTGTATTGGATTCATGTCAAAATTATTTTAACATTAATTTGATCTGTTTATTATTTTATATTATTGTGTTCTGTCATTTTCGATCGGTATCTAGTTCGTGTCGTGTTAACGTGTCATGTTAAAAAATTTAACTATTAACTAAAAATATTAAATGTGTGAAAAAAATTTAAAAAATTATTCACAAGTTAAATTTAATGAAACTAATCTCAATTAAATGAAATTATTTATAAAAATATGTGATTTTTTAACTTAATTTTATTTTCTTAATTTATAAAAATTATATTTTATTATTATTTTTCTACTAGATTAACTCAAATAATAGATAAAAAAAAAATACATTAAGTTTAATTAAAAACAAAAGTAAAATCCATATTAAACTTAAAATCATATGTTACATACTTTCTAATAAATAAGATGTAATTACATAAGTGATTAAAAAATGTCATGATTTTCTTTAGTGAAAAAATATTAAAATGTGTAACTAATTATTCAATATACGAGTTATTCGTGTTAATTTTGTGTTATACAGATTTGATACTAACCTCACTTATTTAATATTTGTGTTATTGGATCATATTTTATATATATATATATATATATTAAAAATTAAAAAAATTAAAAAATTAAATTTCAACTATCTTTTTAAAACAATTCAGCAAATTACAAAATTGCCTTCTCTGCAAATATGCGAAACAACCGAAGATCGAAACAACCTGAGCTTTTCCCTAGAAGTATCCACCAAGCGACCACTTCTTGTTGTTTGTTTGTTTTCTCTAATCGGCTGTTTCTGTCAGCTTGTTTATAATTTTTTTTATTACAATTATACCCTAAAGTAAAATTACATTAAATGACATTATTAAATGGAACATCCACCTATCAATAAGAACCAATACTCTATAATATTGGACACCCACCCCCACCCCCACCTCCAACTCCAACTATACGTATTCCATGTTTGTAAACCCTAAACCTATTACTTTTCATAACCAACTAATATAAACCCTAAATCTATTATTTTTCATAATCATCTTAAATCCTGAATGTGTCATCTTCATCACCATCATCAACGCTATTGAACTTGAAAGTTTTGCTTCAAGTATAACGTATACTTCATCATTTATTTTACTGTGTAGAGCAATGGAGGACGAGGACAACAATTCTAGTGAGACCGGCGTTCCATTAATGAGTTTATCTGTCTTGTATTAACATTCTCGGTCGTTTTCGGTCGTTCTTGTTTCGTTCAAGCTGTTCGATACTGGTTTGCTGACTATTAGAATTATGTTCGGTAATACAGTACTGAACATAATCCTTTCGTTCAATACATAGGTTCCGAACATTAATGCAGATAGTCAGTTATGTAATTTTCTTTGTTAAACTAACTTAGAATGGAAAAGAGTGAATTGGAATGGATTTAAGTTATGTATTTTGAATAGATTTAATTCATGTTATTTTAAGTTGTGAATTGGAATGGATTCAAGTTACACAGTGATAAACAAATTTTGTTCAGACATACAGTGCAGATAGGATCATTATTGTTCGACAAAACCGTTTTGAACAAAATACATTTTTTCGGCTACATAGTGGTGAACAAATTCAAAATCATCACTCGAATCTGCTGATCTCCTGTCGAGATTCTTGAATTCAGGACATTTAGATGAAAGCTTTAATCTGGTTCTTCTGGCTTGTCTCCAAAAACCCAGATGTAGAAACTGAGATTCTCAAAGAAATCAATGAGAAATCCGAAGCTCCGATCTACAAAGAAGTGAAAGACATGGTTTACACACACGCCTCGTTGAGCGAGACCATGAGATTCTACCCACCCATCCCCATTGACGGAAAGCAAGCTTTAAAGAACGACGTGTTGCCAGATGGGACAGTAGTGAAGAAGGGTATGAGAGTGAATTACCATCCTTACGTAATGAGGAGGTCGGAGGAATTGTACTGGACCAAAGCTCCAAACTCTAAAGATTGAGTGAGTCAGGGAATGAGAGGGATGAAAATTTAGGTGGGTCTGCATTTCATTGTAAAAATATTATGAATATGGGTAGATTTGGTAATAAGTGGGGTGTCCAAAAAAATATTATTAAAATTTAGTGTTGAGGGTTGTGGTCCAAAGAAATGGGGGGTCCAAAAAATTTTGGTAGGTGCTAAAAGCAGCACTTTTATCATCTCTTTGTTTTTATTAGGTATTTAAATAATGTGTGTTTTTTTATTAAAAAAAATTATTAATACTTTGGCAATAACTTAAAAAAAAATTAATTTTAATTTTTTTTTAAACTAATGCTAGATCCATGAGTCTTTTTTTAAAAATATTCTATAAAAAAAAATTAGAGAATTGATTTATTTTTCAAACTATTTAGGAAACTAACCTGGTTTTTGAAATCGCATTTTAAAAATACGATTTTGAAATTGAAATTGCATTTTCAACGTGTAATTTTCATTTGAAATTACATGTTGAAAATGCAATTTATGATGATATGAACTTCACTTTTTGATATTATATTTTCAACGTGTGATTTTAAAGTGAAATTACATGTTGAAAATGCAATTTCAATTTTAAAATCGTATTTTCAAAATACGATTTTAAAAATCAAGTTAGTTTCTCAAATAATTTGAAAAATTGAAAATTTCTCTAAATTGTTTTTTTTTTAAAAAAAACTCTTGATACTTTGACACAGAAAAAGTTAAATTTGATAAAAAGTATAAGGGTTGGAGATGCTATTAGGGATTGTTTGAGAAGTGCTAGATTAATATATTTTTTTAATTTTTTATAACAAAAAAAAATTATAAAATATGAATTGAATTTAAAATACTGTAGTAGATAAGTGATATGATTCAAATAAAATATTTATAATCCAAATAAAATAATATGTTAAAATAACATGTGTTATTTAACTCATGCTTAAAAAAGCCTAAATTAACTTAGACCTTTTTAAATATATATTATATTAATTAAAATATATTTTTAATATTATTAATTAACTTAATATTTTATTAATAAAAGAAACTATTTATTATGAAATTAAAAATCTACAAAAAAAAAAAAAATTGGTATTTCAATCAAATATCAAAAATGCATCTGTAATTTACTCTTATTTTTAATATGTAAGATCGCTTCACATCTTGATTTCACAGAATTTCTTTCAAGTCCACCAGTTGTTAGAATTTCATTGAAGAAAACAGGACTCAAAATGGCAAAATCTTTGCTTGAAAAAGGGCTGAATCCACTGCCTCCGAGTACGAACAAGCTTAGAACTCAACTCATTGAAGGGTTGAGTATCAAATCTAGGCTGCAATATTGAATATGGGTATGCTCTCATTCATCAATTCATTGTGTTTATACATATGTTTGGATGTGTTAAGAGCATTTCGATCCTTAAGATGAAAAAATTGGTGAAGGGTTGGAGATGCTTTTGCTTCACCTCTTCTTTCAATTTGAATTTGATGAAAATTTAAAAAAGATGAAACATTGGAGATGATTTTTATTTATTTATTTATCAGATTTGATGAAAAAGGGAAATTTGGGATAAGAGGGGAATTATTAAAAAGATTTTGGTGAAAATATGATGAAATGATTGGAGATCAAACTTTTTACTCAAATTTGGAATCGAATTAGATGAAATTTGGTGATGGGTTGGAGATGCTCTTACTTCTCCTCTTCTTTCAATTTGAATATGATGAAAATTTATAAAATATGAAGCGTTGGAAATGATTATTTATTTAGTTACTTACCAAATTTGATAAAAAAAGGGAAATTTGGGATAAGAGGGGAACTTTTAAAAAGATTTTGGTGAAAATATGATGAAATGATTGGAGTAGTTCATATCAAATCAAACTTTTTGCTCAATTTTGGAATCAAATTAGATGAAAATTGGTGAAGGCTTGGGAATGCTCTTACTTCACCTCTTCTTTCAATTTAAATTTGATGAAAATTTATAAAATATGAACCATTGGAGATTATTTTTTATTTATTTATTTATCTATCAAATTTGATGAAAAAAGTAAATTTGGGATGAGAGGAGAACTTTTAAAATGATTTTGGTGAAAATATGATGAAAGGATTGGAGTAGTTCATATCAAATCGAACTTTTTACTCAATTTTGGAATCAAATTAGATGAAAAAATTGGTGAAGGGTTGGAGATGCTCTTCTATACACATAAGTTTGTGGATTTAGTTTATGCATGTGGCTTGTATTATTTGAAAATGGGTATGTCTTCGTACAGTGATTCTGCTTCTCTTTTCTTTTTCTTTTTTTATCTTAGTTCTGTTGCATCAAATCTAACACGGGCAATTGAACATGGGTATGCTTTCATTCATCAATTCATTGTGTATATACATATTTTTGGTTGTGTCATTATATACATAAGTTTGTACGCTTGTGGTTTGATTTGAAAATGGGTATGTCTTGGTACATTGGTTCTGCTCTTATCTGTTTCTCAGTTGTGCTACATCAAATCTAAGGCGGCAATTGAATATGGGTATACTCTTAATAAGGATTGCAGATGCTCTAAGACATATCCATTTTCAAATTATACAAGCCACAGACATCCACTAAATCCTATGTTTTGATCAAATTCAAATTTGATGAAAAAATGGCTGAATACAGATCAAACCATTTCATCAAATCTAAATCAAATCAAGGAATTTGTAAAAAAATTTCACCAAATATTCAACAGTCATATTTTTAATGAAATTTCAAAAAGAGTAATTATTGGATATGCGTTTCTTTTATTAAAAATGGTTAAAACAGATCTTTAGGATACGTTTGGATTTTTTTAGAAAGATTTGATGAAATAAAAGAGAGTAAGGTTTGAAGTGTTCCATATTAGATCAAGCTTTTAACCAAAATTTCTCTAAAATTTGATGAAAAAAAGAGACTAAGGGTTGGAGATGCTCTTAGTATAGTGATCCTGCTCTTATTTGTTTCTCAGTTGTGTTGCATCAAATCTAGGCGGCAATTGCATATGGGTTTGCTCTCATTCATCAATTCATTGTGTGTATGTATACATATTTTTGGCTATGTTATATACGTAAGTATGTGGATTTAGTGCATGCATGTGGTTTGTATAATTTGACATTGTGTATGTCTTTAGTACATTGATTCTACATTATTTGTATCTCAGTTATGCTTCATTTTAATTTAATAACTCATCTATGTGAGTTGTAGAATTTGAATGGATGTGCTATACTCATTGATTAAAAAACAACGTCCAATTAGTACACAGTAATGTGTGTTTGAGACGGGAAGATTGAGCACACACCTAACTTTTGGCCTAATGCACAAAGTGGTGGTCCCAAGACTTGAACCCATAACCTCAAGGTTATTAGGCAAAGTCTTAACCGTTGAATCGATGCTTTTATTCTTACTGACAAAGTGGTGGTCCCAAGACTTGAACCTATAACCTCAAGGTTATTAGGCAAAGTCTTAACCATTGAACCAATGCTTTTATTCTTATTGTGTACTAATTGGGCCAACTCATTGATTATGTTATTTTATTATTACCTGAGAAACAAATGCTTTTCTGTCGATGTTATGAATAATCAACACAAATTGTACGATTGGAATGTGGGATTGCTCCGCTCAGGACTCTATTTCTCAGAAATGTGTTGTTTGCTGGTTAGTATATGAATACATGTTTCTAATGCTATGCATTGTAGGTTTATACATCTTCCTTTATTGAACTCATTTGAGTAATCGAGGATTAACTATATTTGCATTTAGAAAGATATGGCTCAACTCAAATGGTATTGTACAGTTGACATAGACATGTGCACCAACAATTAGAGGTTGGTCTCTCCATGTTTTTAGGTGACAGAGAGGAACCCATAGTATCACCGACCTCGATAGAAACCATTAACCTGCAGTAACCCTCCCTTGGGGTTTTGTATATTTGTAATGTGTATTAGTTGCATTTCCCTCAAGGAAACGCATGAACACAAGTTATTGAAAGAAAAGTAAGCTAGTCTTGAACCCCATCTAAGTTTGCTTCTTGTGTTGGTGATGATCTGAACCTTAGACCAAAAGCCTTGGAAGCAAAACCAAATTGCATAGTAACAGCTGTGATAATTTTGAGTCAGCAGCTATGACACAGGGATATAACACCAGCACTGAAAATGTTAGTTTCCCCGGAAATCAATTAAAACTTAAAACTTTTCTCTGTGTTTCGTCCAACTTGTAACATACTGCAAGATAACAGCTGTTAGAATTACTTATGAACAGTTGTACACGTAATTTAAGTAAATATAGCTACACCGTATGTAGTATCCTAATCTTATGCACATAATTTGAATACCAAGTATCCTAATCTCGATCATTTTTTGTCCTCTTATTCGTGACTCAAGATTACAAGACTAGATTTCACAAAACAAACAATCGGAATTGCTTTGTCCCCTTAACAGCTGTCCCTGTTCTTTAAAATTTCAAAAGTACTGCCTTGGTTTCCTATCTAATTCTCTACTGGAGTCACTTTGTTTCTTCCAAAAGGATGAAGATGAAGCGGTTCATGATGACAATCAGGTCCATAATCAGCAAGAACATCCCATATTGCATACAATTTCTGCAACTTTCATAATTTCCCAAGTTATTTGGAAAATCACTTGAGGAGAATTCACATTTTTCCAAAGCTTAAATTTTGCTTAAAGGAAACACTGTATTTTTCTGAATATTGACCGAACTAGAAGTTATTTCATAACACAATTGTTGATGAATCATCGATTTATTACAATGTTTTTGGGAATTCATGCATGCCCGGGATTCTCATCAGCATCAGTACCAACATATCTCTTCCAAAACCAGTGGTTTTGAAACAAAAAATGTATCTCCTCAATTGGAACTTGCTTTGTTTCTGGCAAGAGGAAAAAGATGAAGCTGCTCATGATGAGGATTAAGCCCGCAAACAGCAAGAAGATACCATATTTGAGGTGGCAGAGAGACACGAGGAAACACTGCGCGATGAGAGCTGTGAAGATCATATTGACACAGACCACCAGACTTTGGCCAGCTGATCTCGTCTCCAAGGGAAAAAGCTCACTTGGAACTAACCATCCCAGTGGACCCCATGACCTTCCGAAACCCAAGACGAATATGCAAATTACAATGACTAGGAAGATGCCGATTCCTTTTGGAATTGGAGCTCCTTGTCCGAATTTCAGAGCCAACGTAATGGCCACCACCACCTGCAGATCAAAGACTTGAGTAAGTATTCAAACCTATGTTTCTGGAACGTGGAACAAAGAACATGAATGTGGTACACTACATGCTCTAAATATGATACAATATAGATTACACTTCTATGCTGAAAATTTTTCTTTGCAATGACTAGACATCCAATAAAAAAAATTTTGCCTTCTGAAACTTGCATTTAAGTGGGAACAACTCAAACTAATTGCATTTTTATAAAGGTGCAAGTGGGAGCTATGTTCCATGACACAACTTGTTAAAATTGATGTATAGAGAAATAGAGAATTGTATAGATATTGATTGTATTATTGATTGATGTATTGAATGTTGTGTGATGATATATTACAAATGGTGAGTGGCTCATTATATAGGAGAGGGTGAGTGTAGTAGGTGAGGAGTAGGTGAGGAGTAGGTTATGTTCCATGACACAACTTTCACTTGCACTAGACACAGCACAGGCTTACTTGCACCTCCATAAAAGTGCAATTATTTTGAGAGCTTCGTTCCATGCCTCAACCTTCCCCTCCTCCCCCTCAAGGATCAAGGGATGGAGATCAAGTAGGATCTCCAATTAGTCACATAGCAACACATTTTTATGAGCATTATGACTCATTTTTGACATTTTTGTCTTGTCAAAATTTCTCTCACCTTAGATTTTAGTATGTTATATTTGATTTTTTCTTCTTAAATAAAACTTTAGATTTTGTTTGAATTGTAGATTTGTAAGTGATTTGTGGAGGGAAAAGAAAAAGGTAGGGAACAAAAAGAACTTTTGTGAAATATATTGGAAAAAACTTTAGGGATTGCTTTGGATAGCTAAAAATTTATCATTTTAGAATGAAAATGTATCATGTTTTGGAATGCGTGTTTCAAAACATAATTCACTAAGGTGTGTTTGGTTTATGGATTTGGGTAGAGATTTGAAAAGGAAAAGGGAAAAGGAAAATGTGTGTGAAATGTATCTACCTTTTCTCCTTCTCTTTCTAAATCCCTACCCAAATTCATAACCCAAACATAGCCTAAGGTATTAGCTTTTTCTGATAACACTACTTCAAACCAGTTACGCCTGCATTTCAGTTTCTTAACAAAAAGGCAACATGGAAGAGTCTCAAATGTGAACTTACCATGCAGATTATCATTTCAGCACCAGCTTCCAAAAAGAAAGCTCTTCTCCCAAACTTGTCGACAAATGCCATTGATATCAAAGCAGCCACAACTAGTGAGGTAGCGTTCGTCTCCACGCGCGCGTGACACCTCGCGCTCAAACTCCCTAATCCTCTTACAGAACATAGAAGAGAATAGAGTTATTGCCAGTGAGTTGTTGGAAAGCAGGAATCCCCAAAGCACCAATCACCAACTGTGGGCGATTCTTTCGCTTGAGGAGGTTCCTGAACGGGTTTTTTATGGCCCGTGCTGCTTCGCTTGCATCTACAAGATCGGCAAATTCTGCATCAACATTCTTGGTACCTCTTACTTTCTCTAGTACTTTTCTACCTTCTTCTAATCTGCCTTGTTCTACAAGACTATTGGGGGTTTCCGGGAGGAAAAGTCCTCCAACAAACATGAAAGTTGCCGGGAGTGTGGCTAAACCCAGTGATAATCTCCACCCCCAAGGATGGATCTTTTCGGTTCCGTAATTAATGAAGTTTGCGACAACAATCCCTATGCAGGTTGTTAGTTGAAACAGTTGGTTAACCGCTCCTCGGACTTTTGCTGGTGCCATTTCTGAAAGATACAGAGGAACTGCCTGTAGTAGGAGGACAAGAAAACAGAGGTGAATATGAGGTGGTTTGACATTGACTATTTTAGTGACTTTCTGATTTTTTTGACTTTTCTAGAATCTAAAAAAACTAATGCATTTGGGAAGTTGCTAAATTTTTTATTTTTATTTTTTTGTGAGAAGGAAAGTTGAGTGACTTTTGGATTTGGTGGTGCTTCTGTGACCCTTTTTGTGGGTCAATTTTGGGTCTATTTCGATTATCCAAACTATTCATATTGGAGGATTTGTTGATTAGAATATCAGTAGAAAAAATCAAGTTAATTAGATATTCGTAACCACATGATCAAGGTCCTAATTTTAAATATATATATATATAGATAATCTATTATCAAAATCATGCTTGATGTTTATTTATTTAAAAACAAATGCGATCTTGTTATGTGGCTACAAATGTTTGATTAATTTGATTTTTTTCATAAATAATCTACTTCATAAACTTTACAATATAAACAATTCAAATCATCAAAATAAATCCGAATCAGCCCACATGAAGTCTCACAGCAGGCAACATCCCCGAGTCTCTGACTTTTACTTTTTTCTATGATGACAAATGGCCTTTTGACGGTCTGGCTAATTTAGCCAAATAAGGCAAAAAAAAAATGGACTCGGGGTTTGGCTATTGTTTTTTTAGTAGTTTCGTAGCTTGTTTGCTTTATGATCTAAAAAATTAATGTCGTCTCTTTTTTTTTTTAGGTCTTTTCAAACTTGCTTTTTGATGGGAAATTACCATATTATCCTCATAATATTGTGAAGCCCTCATAGGGACACAGTGAAATATTATAAATTACATTGAGGGTAAAATCATCTCTTCATAAATTTGTTCAAATAACGTTTTTTTTTTTTTTTTTAGGGTAAAATCATCTTTTCATAAATTTGTTCAAATAACTTTTTTTTTTTTTTTATAAATTTTATAGAAAAGCCATCCCAAACAGGCTTATTTGCTTTTGATATTTTTAGCTAAAAAGTTGTTAATTTAGGAGATCTCAAACAGAATCTGAGAACATTGAGCTTACTTGATTGCCGAATCCAATGCCAAAACCTAGAAATATTCTACCGATGATCAGCATTGCAATGTTCTGTGCGGCGGCATTGACAACTCCTCCTAAAAAGAAACTAACTGATCCGACGAGGATGCTCGCTCGCCTGCCTTTCTTTCTGGTTAGGGTTGAAGCCGCGAAGGTCGAGACAAGGGCTGCAAAGTACAGAGAGGAAGTGAAAAGCGTGAGGATTTGGTTGTCATATTTACAGTAATCGGTCTCTTTGAGATGTGCTTGTTTCCTTCTGTACACTTTTGGGAAGAATTCCTTCAAGAAATCGTCCATCGAAGTCACTCCACCTGTAATCAAACGGAATAAACTTCAATTTTATTCATTTCTGTCGAATATGTTAATGTGAAAAACGATGCTTTCTATGAAAATAGGATCAGAATGTGCAGTGACAAATGAATTGGGTTAAGTTTATTGTATGCTTCTTTTATTTTTTTATCAGAAGAGAATTTTGATCCTGAGAATGTGAATTTTAATTGGAAATCCATTGATTTCATTGGTTATTGTGTCGTAAAATTCTCAAGCACTCAAGCTATAGTGCAGGCACTTAAGTGACAAATCAGTCAATGAAAACATCATTCCAGATTGTATTTATTGGTACTTCGAATATGAGTTTGTTCGAAATCGTTTGAATTTGAATTTTGGCTTATTGATCGTCTGGCCAATCATCCAACAAGAAGGTAACAATCACAGTAGATAAGTATTGTATTGGTCGTCCGGATAATCGTTCGAACAATTGACTGACAAGCACAAATTCGGACTTTCGGGCAAATTCAAATTCGGGTTACCAATCATTTTTTATTTGGTTGTGTTTTCGTTTTTATTTTATTGTTTTCGTGTTTTCGGAAACAAAGGTGGGTTGTTTTCAGAAACAATTTGCCAAACAAATGGGTTCTTGCTGATAAAAAAAAGGAGTATAAAAGAAACAGAAGGTTTTTTTCATGTCAAATTTGATTTGCTTTGAGTGGGAAACTTTTCTCAGATGAAAACATATTTTCTGATCTCCCCATTTTCTCTGGAAACCTTGTCCAGAGAAAGATAGAACCTCTTGCATTTTTCTCGAATCAAAACGAAAATTATCATTAACCCATTGTTAATATTGAAATCTGACTCAATTGTGTGAATGACTATGACATGTTTAAAGTCACAAAAAACCCATATATTACCCAGCTCAGAAAATGGTAAAAGTCACAAACTACGTTTTAAAATCACAAAAAACTATAATACCCAGATGAAAAAAATGGCTAAAAATTCTTCAACTTCTGAAAAACTCACCAGAAACACCAAGATCATATCCAAACAGTGACCCTCCTAGAGCTGCAACAACACAAGCAAATATGAAATAACCAGTAATTCTGTACTCATAAAGATGTGCCCTTTTTTCATTTCCTCCATCACCAAATGCTCCACCTGCCATTGATCAGCTCCTTTCTCTCTCTCTCCCTGCAAGAACCTATATTTACATGCATGAAAATGAAAGGGTAAATTACACTTTGTTCCCGATATATTTGGCTATATTCTCATTTTAGTCCTTCATATTTCAAATTTTTTCCAATTTACTCCAAAGATTAATTTATATTCAAAATCTAATAGAAAATGACATATTAACCGTTACGTGATATAAAAATATTTTATTATATATAATTCACACTTATGACACAAACTTAAACACAATACAATGATATATTTTTTTATGTCACGTAGTTGCTAACATGACATTTTTTTGTCAAATTTTGAATATAAATTAGTTTTAAAAGCAAATTGAGAAAAATTTGAAATATAAAAGGTCAAAGCGGGGAAAAAAATTTAAGTACCAAAGTGAAAAATAGCCAAACATGAAAGGACAGAGTGTAATTTACCCAAAAATGAAATATACATAAAAATAAAATAAAAAAAAAGGAAAAAAAAAAAATTGTAAGAATCAAGTGGTATTTATGTATTGATTGGATGGAGAACTGATTATAGTTTAATCTGGGCTTGCAAGGAAAACTAGGATAGGATCAGGACAAGAAAGTAGATAATTATAAACTAGTTTTTGTCAACAAAGGTCTAAAATAAATTATTAGTTTAATCCCTTTCTTTTTTTTCTTTTTTCTTTGTTTGTCTTTTCTAATAAACAATGAAGAAAGTTGTTACTATCTTCAATTTTTGTCTTATCGAGAATTCCAATTGTGTTTAATGGGGTTTTTTTTTTAAGGTCCTTGATCTTATGATTTTATAGCATAAAGGACATCAAATATTTTTATGATGTCTAAGGTCCATCAACAATATTTTCATAATGTCTAAGGTCCCTCAACCTTGATCCAGAGAAATTTCAGTCCAGAGAAAATTAGTGCAGAGAAATTTCAGTCCAGAGAAAATTGGTCCAGAGAAATTCTGGGAAGAATTTCTCTGGACCAACCCTAATAAAATTTAGTTCAAAAATCAAAGAATTTCTCTGGTTTCAACCTAGAGAAAATTCAATTCAAAAACCAGAGAATTTCTCTGGTTTCAACTTCAAATGAAAAAAAAAAAAATTCAATTCACAATTTGGAACCTGGAATGCTTAATTTGAAACCCAGAGAATTTCTCTGGACTAGCATTGCTATTGCTTGTGGTGAACCCAACACAACTGCAATTGTTCCAGCACTTTTCCATACAATCGCTAATGCTTAAGCCCGAATTATCGTCACGGTCACTGGATTCGGCCGAGTTGGAAGTGAAGGCTCGATTGAGATTTAAAAGTTTGGCCTATGTAACTTGCCAAAAGGACAAATTAAAAATATGAAAGAAAATAAATAAATAAGGATTAATTACATGAATATGCCCCCATTATTGCTTAACCCTTCTTAATTATTAAATTATACATTTCAACTCTTCAATTATAAGATTACATCACTTTCAACCCAATAAAAAGGGTGTGTATGCATAAATTTTTATTATTATTTATAAATGAGGGGTTAGATATATGATTTTATAATTGAGGGGATTAAGTAATAAATAAGGGTATCAGTGTAACTAACTAACCCAATAAACAAATCTGGTATCCTATTACCCTTTAATTGACAATGTCAATGCCAGAAAATTATTTAATATTCTCGTAGTATTACATATTGTACTCCCTAATCAATTATCATTCAATATGTCTATTTATGTTCCTTAAGTACCCAACACGATATCCTGCCTACTCACTTTTTTCATCAATCATAATACCATAGAATATTACGTATTCATATTCTAGAATTACTGAATAATTATCCGTCATTGCCACATAGTAGTATGGAAAAGCTTTTCCCTCCACTTTTGAGGGAGCATGCAATTGAGGTGGGTAATACAATAATCTTAGATGAGCATAATTAAAAAGTGATTAAGCAGATAGAATAAAAAGTTATCTTAAATGTAATATAGATCACATTTCAAATAAATCATAAGTATACAATATATTTTTGGAGAAATTATAAATAAATAAATAAAAAACAGAGTTTGACCCTAATAACAAAATAAATCATATTTTTTTATTATTTAAATTTAAATTATAATTTTTTGCTTTATTTTTTATCTAAATTATTCGTCAATTTCAATCAAGTAAAATCGATAGAAAAAGTGATATTTTAGCATTAAATTTAGGCATCGTTTGGCAACAAGTCGGTTTAGCTAAAAAGTCAAAAAGTTATTAAAAACGTCAAAAAGCCAACAACTCATATCAAAAAGTCAAAGATTCTCTTTCTCTCTAATTTTTGCACTTCTTTACGTAAAAAGTCAAAAAGTCATCCCAAACATACTAATTTTTTTTAACTCATATTTTAGCCAAATAGCCAAAAAGTTACTAAATTGGCCTGTTTCCAAACGAGGCCTTAATGTAGGTGTACATAAAATGATTAAAATACCCCTTTTCATTTAGTTTAATGATTTTTTTTGGTCAATTTTACTTAACAAAAATAGATAAATAATTTAAATTAAAATAAATTAAAATATTAAAATTTAAACTGATAAAATTAAAATTAAAATTTATTATAAAAGTCAAATCTTAGGTTGCATTTGGTAAAATTTTCTAAATATGATTTGAGAATAGAGTTGTATTTTGAGTTTGTGAGTTTTGGAATTATGATTTGAGTGTGGAAAATTTGTTTGGTAAATGAGTTTTGAAATGAGTTTTGAATTGAGTAGAAAATTTTTGATATAACATATAATATTTGATATAAAAACTTACAACTCATAACCAAACACACAACTCAAAATTTTATTAAAACTCATAAAAAAAATTTAAAAAATTTGAAAAATATTTTTTGTTGAATATATAAAAATTAACAACTATCAATTGCAAAAAAAAATAAATAAAAAAAATTATACTGTTCCGGTTAACCGGCCGGATGATCGGTGGGACGTCCGGTAGGATGATCGGTTAACCCAAATCTTTCTGCCTCCGACCACGTTTTCAAAAGTGAGTGTGAAATTAATTTTTGAAAACCAGAGCTAAACACTATATATAAATTAAGAGTTGGAATCACAATTCCAAAACTCTTCCAAATAGAGCCTTAAATTTTTTTTCAATAATTTCTCTTAATTTTTTTTAATTACTTTTATGTATTTTAATTCTACACACTAAAAATAATTGCTTGTGACTTCATGCAAGTTGGCTGTGCCCAACGGTTTGGAAAGCGCATTAATTATGGCACTCATCTTCTGAGAAATTTTTGTGTGCATAGAGGGTAGGTGTCGTGTGTTACCTTCCTCTTCTCTTATTGGTGGAGAGAGTAAGAATTATATTTATGTGTTGAGTGATGGGGAGACAATATGAAGGGTCATGATATTTGTGATTGGTTGAAGGTACCATGTAGCATGTAGCATGCCACATGGTGCCCTCCTAGCACCCAAAATTTTTTCCTTCTGTAGGGTGTTCACCAGATATTTTAATTTGTCTAAATTGATCGAATCGAATCGATCCGTTACATTTTGAATGCATGTGTGATGATAAGCGAACGGTTACAGATTGAATTTTTTCAACCCGTCTAGTTTTGGACAGATGGGGGATTTGAGATTCTTTTGATCGCAATCGAACCGCTAAACTACGAGCACCCCTAATAATTTGTAAGACTTTATGTTTTCAATTTGTTTAGATATTCTGTTTGTATTTTCAATTGAAAAAGAGTCTAGATATTCTATTGTGTTTTCAATTTATTTTCAATTTAGAAATCCTTTTGTCAAATGGAAAGTGTTGATATTTGATATTTTTGCGTAAAAAATATAAGACTTAATTTTGTCATTTTTTTGAAAAAATCAAAATAGTTTTTGAATAAAAAAAAGTAGTGAAATAGTTTTGATAATATATGGTTTTCTTATATGTATTTATTGTTGATATTTGACAATTTACTTGATAATCTTTTGGTTATATTGAGTTGGATTGTTATAAAAAAAAAATGTTGACAAGTTGTTGTATTATATTCAAAATATAAAAGTTTAAACTGCTAAACCAATTCGTATTCATCTGTCAATCCGTCAATCCGCTCAATCTACATCCGTCAATCCGGTGGACGGATGGGGTTTGATTTTTTTCAATCCGCCAATTTGATAGACGGATGGCGGATTAGAGATTTTCCGATCGTAATCGAATCGCAAGCACCCCTACCCCCATGTAGTATTTTGACAAGGGACAAGCTTTTCTTTGTAGACATTACAAATTCTATTTCGATGATATGAAGTGTATATTTTTTAAGTTATAGTAGATTATATATGAAAAAAATTAAATCAATTTAATAACTGTAATCGCATTAACTTATAACATTTAATTTAAAAATAAATAAATAACAAATATTTAAAAACTAAACCTATCCATTAATAAGTCCTACTACAAGTCTACTCACTTTGAATGATTTTTTTTACAAAGGTACTTTGAATGATTAAACACTAACTAGATTGTGGTTTCATTTGCCTCCTATTGACAAGGTTTATTGTAGGGAGAGCACAAAGGCGAGTCCTGTTGGGATTCCTGTTGGCATTCAACATAGACTCTCTAGAGTCTCCTACACCATTTTACAATGGTAATGGTGAGAGTGTCTAGATGATTTCATAAAATTTTAGAGAAATCTAAAAGTTTGTAGAACCCCTAGAACAATATGAAATTTAATTGAATATTGCAGAAATTTAGAAGAATTCAAAAGGTTTTAGAATATTTTAAAAAAATATAGAGAATTTCACTACGTATTGAAATATTTTAGAGAATTCTATAATATAATAGAAGGGTAAAAATATTTTATAATATTCTAAGAAGGTAATGATAGTCTTTGAATCAAGTTAATCTAAGTCATCCATTAAGGCTGTGAAAAACTATATAAAGAGAAAGACCCTCATAGGCTAGTGTGAAAAACAATAATATAGTAGTGTAGAAATGAGATAAGAGTAGGCTGGTGTGGTTAGAAATCACGAACCCAAGTAGGATTTGTAATGAGAATAAAGTATTGTTAACATTTTGTATTCAGTTTGTTTGTTATTTATATTTATTATATTTATGTCAATTTTCTTAGTGTACCGTGTACTCAACAAGTCTCTATCCCTATACATCAGAATTTGACCTTTGTTAGA